GGTAGACCAGTTCCAACTGCTGTGACAGTTGTACGTCTGGTTGGAGCGGCTGAGTATTTAAACTCGAGGACACACAGTCCTCATCGTAATCTCCTTGAGCTAAGATCACACAGACCTCGCTCAACAGTAGTGGTAAGTCTTCACATGTGACTTCCAAACCTTCACAGACTTGGTCACTCGGCAATCCACAATTCCTCTTGGATGCTCAGACCATGACGCCTAACCGTCTGGAGGATACACAGTCCTCAAAAGTAACAAGCGTCGGTTCCACACAAGAACAATCTCTTCAGTGATGCTCAATCACTTTGGGGTTTGTAGGTTTGGGTTTGGGATTTGGGTTTTCCTCACTTGATGATTTTCGCTCAAAGTCCTTGGAGAATGGGATGCTCTCAAATGACAAGTGTCAGTTTCTCCCGGAGCAGCCAACCAGCTAGTGGTTGTAGGGGGCGGCTATTTATAGCCTAGGGAGCAGCCCGACATGATAAGACATAAATGCCCTTGGCTGATATGACCGTTAGGTGGTAGGATATTTTGGAACAGCTGGCGTGTGGCACAGCAACGGTCGGATTTGAGGTTCGAATTCCTCTAGGCTATCATGTTCCTCACTGTGTAGGCAATCCGCACTGGCGAAGTCCTAACTCCTCAGTCAGAACAAATTCCTCAGAGACCAGAAGATCTTCATCTCTGTCACTAAAAAAATCGACTGAACTGATATGAGATTTCCAATGGCTTCACACGATGGATTGGGTAGGTGTAGGATTTTGAGATGAGCATCACTTGGAAATTAGTTTCCTTAGTATTACCTCGACCCCCTTTAACAGTATGGTGTTTCCTATGACTCAAGAAGAAGAAAATGAAACTATGAAAACAAAAGTCTTCACGCTTCATAGTCCTTGCATGAATATCAAGTCTTCACGGTCACACCAATTTCTTCACTTTCAAAGTCTTCAGGAGAACCAAAGTCTTCAGCCGAAGACATTCATTTTTAGGGGTCGACTTTCTCTGTAAATATCAAACTCCTCATTGACTTATAGATCCTGTGTACACTCACACACATATTAGTCCCTTAACCTATAAGTCTTCAATACACCAAAATCACTAAGGGACACTAGATGCACTTACAGTATCCATCAAACCTTTGTCATGGTCGGCACTGCACTGATGTCCGCCATAGTTTTTCGGCGTAGTAGTGGTGTCCACTTTTTGACGCCCAAAACACTAATAACAATCCGGGCCGAGAGAAAAAAATGTTGCCACGACAAAAAAAAAGTTACTGGCGGTGTGTGGACACACTTTGCTAATAATCTGTTACCATCAGAGTTGTACTAGCGGCGTGCCAGTCGCATTCTGCTTGTAGACCTTAGTGCACGCTATTAGTTAGGGGGTCTTGTACTAATGTGCAAGTTTATTAGCTTGAATCTTGGTTATACTATTGTCAAGTGTCAACAATTTAGTTCAAAGAATTTAGGTGAACATTAGATGTTTATGTTGTTGTACATGATGCACAAGCACAAGAACAGAACCTTTTTTTCTCTAAAGATGGTTCAACGATGGAAATCAGTAGCATGTCGTAGTTACATATGAAATGTCAAATAATATTTCATTATTAGTGCAATCATGTAGGGAGAAATTAGTCAACTTGGCTGGATTTTACAGGTTTATTCTTTATTCGTCGTAATGGAATGAGAATGTTATCTCCCTCCCCCACCCACCCCTTTAATCCACTATTTTAAGTTCTATGCTTTGGTGTCACCCTTAGCAAAGCTTTTATGTTGTTTTTAGGTGGTTGGACGTATGTCCAATTCATGACCATGTCTATCCACTGCAAATACGGAAATGACATAGTAAGCTTGTTTGATTCATAGGTTAAAATGGTAATTGATTTTTTATTTATTTCAGTGGCTAGGTGATGTTTAGGCAACCGGGCAGCAACACTCATCGACTTCAGTACAGTGGCCTCCAGGGTTTTTGCAAAATTTGACACATCACTCGACTATGTAATTAGGAAAATAAAGCTCATAGCAGCTTGCAGGTAGTGGCAATGCATCTATCCGTGTCTGCATAAAACCAACACACATTATTAGGCCTGTAATATGATATATAATTCGCTATTTTTATGTTTCTGCAATAAACATACACTTATTATTGGTGGGGATTGAGAAGCGAATGGAAGGAGCATAACCTCATTATCCCGTTGCATGAGGAGAAAACAGTAGTCATGACCATGAGAACCACCAAAAACATGGGACATGTGTTCTTCTTGAAGGTTGTCATTTGGATAGGTCAGCTAATACCTTCTTATGCTCAATTGTTATATATGTTGGGTGTTGCAATGTCGTTGAAGCTTCGCGGTGTTTATATAGACACATATTGAGGCTTTTTAAAAGGATTATTGGCAAATAAATACAATATGTTCAGTATCAATATTTTAGTTGTCAAATCAATCATTAAATGGTGTAATAAAATACATTGTGTATCAATATCACATGATGAATGCATTATCTGTGAATAATGAATATCATATCTTTTGTATCAATTGTTTATGTATCAAGTGAATGCATTCGTTCTGAAACGTGAATACAATGCATTTTATATTTATTTTCTGAAAATGCATTAATTGTGGTACATTAATGCAATACAATTTTTACCAATACCTTCTGCTATCAAATTCCGGGCCAATTCTTTTGTGGCTTATTTGGGTTTCTACAAATAAGCCGGCGTCTACACAACTTATTCTAGAAGCTCGATCTAAAATTTTATTTTAGAAGTCTACTAGTTAAACCTGAATTAGTAGGCTTCTAGAATAACTTGGGTAGGGGGCAACTTATTTCCACAGTTCCAAATAAGCCACAAAAGAACTGGCTCGAAAGCATTCACTATGGTATTTCAGTACTCCCTCTGAATTTATATAAATAGTCGCTGATTCGGTACAACTTTATACTACATCATCGACAATTGGTATGGGTCGGAGGGAGTACTAATTAAGTATTGACTATAATTTGGCCTAAAAATAAGATTGCTCTAGTTTTGGTGTGCATGATCTGTTTGGAGAAAAATGAGTTGTACTGTTTGGTCACAAAAACAGTTGTGGAATATTTTTATGAACATAAGTGTTGCTTCTCTGAACCGGAGTATAAGTAAGTCAAGAGTTTTCATGTCTTCAATTTGATTAACAAAATATTTGTAATACGCCCAAACAATGTCTAAAAACATCATTTCAACACCGAATGCGAAGATTTTTATTTTTGTGATATAAAAGAAATGTTTCGCTAGTCAAATTGAAGACTTAAAAATCCATGCCTGACTTATAATCCCATCTGTAGGGAGCATAAAATATCATAGATTTATTTTGCTCTCTTTGATGCTCGAGTTATGTTGTGCATGACCTGTATGGAGAAAAATAAGTTATACGGTTTGGTCACAAAAACAGTTGTAGAATGTTTATATATAGGAACATAAGTATTGCTTCCTCCGGACCGGAATATAAGCCGGGCGTGGATTTTCATGTCTTCAATTTGATTAACAGAACATTTGTAATATGCCAAAAAATGTTTAAAAAATTCATTCAACGCCGAATGCATGCAAAGATATATTTTTTGTGATATATAACAAATGTTTCGCTAGTCAAACTGAAGACATAAAAATTCATGCCCAACTTATAATTAATCCCATCTCAAGGGAGTATAAAAGACCATAGATTTATTTTGCTTTCTTTAATTCTAGCCGCGCCAGCTCCACTCATGAGGCGACAACTGGAGCGCTTGTGCCTTCTACAGTAGTATAGTTAAGTGTCGTGCCTAAGTAACTGTAAGTGAGTTCATGTTCCTACAAATGGAGTAAGATTTAAATCCTTAATATATAGCATTAATTTGGTACTAATAGTTATGTTGGCTATGTTTACTACTTCATGTTTAACAATATTTTGTACTCCTCTTTTGAGGAAGTGCTAAAACCTTACGTTGCTTTATCGTTGATAAGTTAGAAGAGTTGAATTAGAAGCCCCCAACGGCAACGGGGCTGGGCACAATCTCACGACAGAAACACCTCTAAATCTCCCGGATCCGAAGCCGCCACCTCGTCCAGCCACAAGATGCGGGTGCGCCACCCAACCCCATGACGAGCCGCACTCCAAGCATGTCTCACACATCCGTCCCATCGGCCCGCAAGTTTGTCGGCGGCCACTTTGGTTGCGGCAAGGGCCTGAGAGGAGGAGGCGCTCGGAAGGTTGGGACTAGATTTTTTTTTGCCTTCCGCTTTGCCCCATGCGGAGCGACGCGGGTCTGTGAGGCGTTTTATCAGTGTCTCCTCGGTCCTCATTCAGGATGAAGGAGCAATTGCCAAACCTGTTACATAAGGTAACTGCAAATGTAAATCTGGATGGCCTTCCAATTTCAGAACTCGCTCACAGGGTCATATATGTACATCACTAACAGTAAATTAACCAGGGTCTGTCAGTGTAACTCTGCGATTATGTCCAATACAGAGACATGTTGGAGGGTTGCTTAAAATGTTTCTTTTAGCAGGACTACGTTTTCATTTTAAGAAACTATCAGCAATTCAGAATGCTAACATAAATCGCAATAAAAAGTAATATTAGGCCACCTCCTGTCGACATCACAAGCAAGATTTGGGTAAGCCGGACCAAATGCTCAATGTGTATAGCCGAACAAAAGCAAGATTTGGGTATAGCCGATTGAAAGCATCAGGTGCGCTGGGTCAGCATCAATCATCGGTTTATGATGGAAACAAGCATCGTTCCTAATAGCATTCAACCAAAACAAATTTCCATCAAGTCCTGAACACAAGTCAACACCCTGCCACTCTTACACATTTTAGCCATCCTCCATCGAGCAGCCGAACAGGAGGAAATTCAAGTCTTTCATCAATCAAGAATACAAAAAGACACATCTCAATGACTTGAAACGGCTTAACTAGTAGTACTACGAAACTACACATTCTTCTCGGATTCACGCAAAGATAACTGCATTTCTGATGCCCCTCTAACTTGAGCATGACGCGCTGCTGCTCTCGCTCTTGCTAACGCAGATGCGCACAAGGACACTCTTGCTGGTTTTTTCCTCACGCAGCATCCCCGGAAGCAGTGGGAAACAGTCACGCTCCATCCTCCAGTCCGGGCAGCTCGCCACCTCCTTAATTTCCAGCTTCAGCTTGCGCCTCTGAGCAGGAGGGGCATCCGCCCTGACCGAGTAGGTGTACACCGGCCCAGCGGCAGCAGCAGCGCTATTCCTGACACACACAAGGGTCACCAAGGGGAAAGGGAACTCCTGGAAGAACGGAGCAAGGTCCACGACCAATAGGAACACGCCACCGTCCTCCCCGAGAAAGAGTTCATAGCGCACCATCCACGAATCCATCTTGTCGGTGTACACAAACGACGAATCCATCTCGTCGGTGTTGTATATGTAGTCTTGGCCGTATGTGAACTTGTGGGCGGACCAGGCGTGCGTGAGCGTGAAGTGGCTCACGAGGTCCGCCGGCGAGCCCTTGAAAGAGCACCTCGTGCACCAACAGGGCTCGAACTCGCATGTGGCTCTGTGCGCCGCCGCCAGGTCACCTATGACAATAGTGCTTGTGCAGCCGTACTTTTTGTACGGGCAGGCCTCCTTGATGTAGCCGAATAGGGTGTCCAGGTAGGAGCTCTGGACGTAGACAGCGGAGGCGGCCAAGTCTGCACAAGGACGGCACTTGCCGCCGTGGAACTCACTGCAGGACCTGCACGCGACGTGCCGCAGAAGGGAGCACTGCGATCGACGCCATACATAAAGATTACAAAAAACTTAGGAATGAATCAATCTCGTGGACTGTACGAAATACAGATTTCGGTTGGTTTGTTTGTTTACCTGGAAGATGGGAGCCTTCAGGAGGCCATAGCACACGTCGCAGTTTAGCACCCTCATCGGAACATCTAAGTCGAGCTTCACCACCTTTTCCTTCGCCGCAGATACCGCGACTGCACTGCAGGCTTGTTTGAGTAGCCCTGGTCCTCCTTTTGGCTGATGATGTGGCACCATTGCGTTGGACGCTGCCACCGGCTCCGGCGCCTCTACGGCAACTAGACTGGGCACCGCCACCGACTTGCAGCAAGGCCGGCCCTTTGACGGTGGAGTCTTTCCACCCATTGTGCTCTTCCTCTTGCGACCCATCTCCGGTGTAATCTAGGATGAGAGGGCATATTTTCGTGTGAGAGAGATGGTTAACCAATCCAAGAGAAACACTGGCTGAAATCAAGAACACAATAGGAGTGGCTAAACTCACACTCGAAAAAGAGCACAAGAACACGGCTGGCTCCTCTCGGCCTCAACTTGGCCTCTTCACACTGGAGTAGCTGGTCACATTAGTTTACTGAGAAAGAAAAATGTACAAGAATTTGAAGAAACTAAAGCACAGTACTGTTGCGCATCAACCACACCGAGTAAATTCTGCCTGACATGGAATCGTTTGGTCAGGTATGTGCTTTGTACTCTATGGCTTATGATTCAGTTTTCCACCTTGAGATATGAAATCAAAACTTCAGATCATATTCTAAATTCACCAAGGATATACTGTGGTTATTATTATGTCTTTGCTGCGGTCTATGTTGAGGGTGATACTGAGACTAGAGTCTACAACAACAACATCAATAATTAACTGAACATACCTGAGATGTGTGGTCAACATGATGGTATGTTAATCCGAGGTTTGAGCATTTTTTTCCTATGGCGATCTGTTTGTTTTAGAAATATTCATTAGTCAAATTTACTAATGCAAATGTGTTAGCCGAGCACGAGCTACCTGAGTTATTTCTTGAAGAACTCCCGGCTAATTTTTGTTCTCTTGAAATACCACACCCACCCCTATAAAACTAGGCATACCAACAGGGACTAGCTCCTGTGGCTTTTCTGTAAAGGAGAGACAACCGGGAGCTGCTTGTGGAGTTAAGGGCTCTTAACGTAGTTCTTCATGCAGCTTAATTTGGACTCCTCTCAGTATATCGTGTTATCATTTCCGAATCCATGGCATTCTCATTCTTTACAGAATTTTAGGTTTTGTTCATTTTTCGTTCATGTATGGGAAATTTAATCTTTTCAGGCAAGCTTCACTTGGTTCAATCTGGGGATAGTGATGTCAACAAATCACTGGAAGAGTTAAGTAAGTGCAGTCTGTATCTCCTTTTTTTGTACTCCCTCCGTTCCTAAATATAAGTCTTTTTAGAGATTCCAATATGACTACATACAAAGCAAAATGGGTGAATCTACACTCTAAAATATGTCTATATACATCCGTATGTAGTTTGTATTGAAATCTCTAAAAGGACTTATATTTAGAAACAGAGGGAGTATAAGGGAAGGCATCACAGTTTCTTCTTCTTCTTCTAAGCCTTTTGTCCCAAACAAGTTGGGGTAGGCTAGATGAAACCCTTTCACGAGGACTTCCCAGGAGGTCACCCATCCTAGTACTACTCTCGCCCAAATGGGTTTCATACCCAAAGGACTGGCTAGTTTTTACGTTGGCTCGCCAAGCCTATCACAACCCTTATATATGAAATCCTTTCATGAGGACTTCCCAAGAGGTCACCCATCCTAGTACTACTCTCGCTCAAATGGGTCTCATACCCATGGGACTGGCTAGTTTTTACGTTGGCTCGCCAAGCCTATCACAACCCTCCTCCTTTACCCGGGCTTGGGACCGGCTATGCCTAAAAGACATAGGCGGAGTTAAGGGAAGGCATCACATCACAGCACATCACATCACATCACATCACAGCTAGTTTTTTTTTGTTTTTGTTTTTTTTTTCACAGGGAAGGCATCACAGCACAGTAAAAAAAATGTAGAACATCGGACAGGCAGCGTTGCTGTTCTTTCCAGTGAACAGACTTGTGTGCATAAAGAAGTGCTTTAGCCTGTAACAGGTGTTCATCACATAAGATCATCACAGCAACCTTCCTTTTGGAAGGGGATGATGGGCTATTTTAGTTGCGACCTGATACCGAGGGACAATGAGCAAGAGAGTTGGCCAACTGAAGTGTTAGTTTCAGGGTACATTTGCCGAAACGCTTTTATTAGTTTCATCCATAATACCGGGACTGGAGATCTGAATGCCCTTGTATATGCAAGCGGTGTGCTCTCTCTCCCCATTTTTTTTAGTGTATGGGTGCTCTTCGGGTTGTTGAAATCGAGTTTGTATGGAGCTCCATAACAGCAGGACGGTATGCGTGGACTTTTATTTTGGATAATGCTTCTGCGTACTGTGTTGAACTGCAATTTGTCTGGTGAGTTTAACTGAAATATATGTAATATGCATGGCAGAGGAAATGTTGTGGCAAGATTAACTGCGGTGAAGCAGCACCAAACGGGAACCTGATTCATCTGTTAATGTTAAGACAGGCTCAGAAACGACACCAGAAGATGGAGGGAAGGTGCCTTGTCCGACCAAATGGAAATAAAATATGTCCTTCAGAGGTTATTCTGTGTTATTCAAGCGCAAACCTGCGCAAGGCTTCAAGATCGGCCAAAACGAATCTTTGTATCTGTTCTCTTTAACAGCGGCTCTGATCCTCCTAATCTTTTGGACATCAGTTGCCTACTGTGTATTTTCACATGTATTTTTTATTCTGTCGTGCATTCTTTTGTACATTTGTTTCCTATTGTGTGTTTTGCCGTCGAAATGAACATCAAAGATCTAAAAAATCTAAGATACAAATGCAAGTCTACTTAACCAAAAACTCGTAAATTTCAACTACCAAAAACATGAAGAAGCATACAAAGTCTTATCAAAACATAAGATTGTCAGAAGTAACAGACAACTACAAGCTTATACAATCGGGCGCTAAAAAACTTAAGATTCAGAAGCCTTCACAGGACATCTACACAGGTGTCTAAATAAAAATTGTCCACAAAAGAAGGATATATGACAGGATGCAGCTATCGAAAACAGAGTTTAAGATGACAGAATATATTCAAGAAAAAGATATATAATGCGCTCACAAGATAAGCTTAAGCTGACCCACATGCCCTGCTCACGCACATGCTCTAGAGCAAGCTTTGCGTGAAGGAGGAGGCGGCCGTGCAGCCGTGCCCGTGGCCGTGGAGCCGTGGAGGTTGAGCAGCGGAGGAGAAAGGGGGGAGCGTCCGGCGGCGGCGTGGAAGAGGCGACCGGCGGCGGCTTGCGTTAGAGGAGCTAGGGATTGGACTGATTTGGGGAACGGTCGATTTCTCCCATCTCGTGAGCTCGGTGAAGCTCCCTCCTCTCATTTGGGCTGGGCTACAGGCAGTGTACAGGGATCAAGTGAAAAGCCCATCTTCTTGAAAAGCGCATCCTTTTTTGTGTGGTTTGACATTTATTGGACCAAAAAAGTTTCCAAAATTATTGGGCTTTCTAGTCCTCTATTTGAACTTGCATCGAATTATTATGTTTTAAAATCGTGCATACCAAAGAGGCCTTTAATAAGTTTATCAAAAACATTATTTATTCAATCATTTTCAAAACAATAATGATGGGGCCCCATTGTGCTAGTTTAAATTAATTGTGCTACAAGAATTCCGATGTGCAAGAAAAGAACATATCATATGAGTTGAGGACACCGGCGGCTGCGTCGCCAAGCCCGCAAACCTTCCAAGAGTAGATTAAGAAGCACTGGCGGAGATCCAAGATCAGATTGTGAAGATCGTTGATTTCATAAGTACTCCCTCCATACCAAAATACAAGAAAATTTGTGCAGTTCAAATTGAACTGCAAAATCGTCTTGTATTTTAATACAAAGGTTGTAGATCATAAAACAACACCGGGAGAGATACACGTTCACGAACACACACATACGAAAATCGACAACATGTTGATTAGTACAGAAGATAACCATTATAAACGGCCCAAACACAAACTAACCTACATCTACTGGGACCAAATTACACCGGCAGAAATGCCAAAACCATGCATCCTTCCCAAGTGCAGCCTCCCCAGAGACTGGGGGAGACAAGCAGAGCCAGAGCGGCGGCATGGAGAACCCATCATGGGGAGCAGGAGTCGTCACCTGCCTTGACGACGTCCACAACATCGATCGGCAGGGCAGCACCGTCACGGTTGATCGCCCGGGGTTTAGTAATACTCCCTTCGTTTTAAAAAGTTTGTCTTAGATTTATCTAGATACGGATGTATCTACTTGGAAAGGGGAAGTATCTAGTATGGTTATCAACAGCGTAACTTATGCCAGTTTGCTGGATTGAATGGCGAAAAATTACATGCAAAAACTCGCAAAACATACTAGCAGTAGACGCAGCGGGCCTTCATTTTCATGTAAAGAACGCATTCAACCAAGAGTCCAAGACAAATTTCCCTACCCAGTTCTCCATTTCCCTACCCAGTTCTCCATCAAGTCCCCAACACAAGTCAACATCTGACCACCCTCCACACATAGCCGTGGAGGAGGTGAACAAAAGGCAAATTCAAGTCTTGACCAAGATATACAGAAGACGTTTCTCTAAATCGAAGCGATCACTAGCTTAACAGCAATGCTACACCTACGTAATATTTGTTACGTGTCTTACGTATGAGCTGGGCTGGCAGATTTTTATTGGCCACAAGTTGGGGACGCGGGCCCACACTTGAAATAGGGGGGGCAGTTTTGATTAGTGGGAAAGGGATTACGTAGGTTACGTAGAAGCTGTACGTAGGTGTAGCATTTTTGCTAGCTTAATTAGCAGCACTACTACGGATCTACATCGCCTCTACTACCATCACGCAAAGATAACTGCATTTCTAATGGTCCTCTTAGCATCATGCGCTGGTGCTCTGGGTCTTGCGGATGCACACGCACACATGGAGCTTCTTGGTCTGGTCCCCATGGAGCAACCCCGGATGCACACAAAAAAGGAACATTTAGCTTCTCGGTTTTGCCGCGTGTGAAGAAATCAATCCACTATTTTTCCATTCATTGATCGAGGGCATTTAAGAGTTTTGTTACGTCATCGTAGGTGAGAAAAGGTCCATGAGTTATTCAATCTACTATTTCTTTCAATCCTTTCAATCGATGTGATTTTAAGGTATGAAGTTTCTGAATATAGTAGGAAACATCCCCGCAAAAAAAAGAATATAGTAGGAAACATGAACAATTTTTAAATTCTGAATAGTTTTTTGAAAATTATGTACACTTCCAAAAAAATGCGAACA